GCATTATTCTTCCGACGTCTGATTTCTTTTTAATTATAGGAAATGCGTTTTTCTAAGGTACATAAACTTTCGGGATTGACTGTATAGCCAATACATCCTTAAGAACAGTCTCTTTTTAAATAAAGAACACACTCACACACACATACATATTAGATCATTTATTGAGAAATTATTAGATGATTTAGTTCTTGGAATTTAATGAGCACTCGTGACTGATCGACTGCTCAGTCGTTGAATTTCGATGACCCTTCCATCCTTCCTCGATTCCGTTCGGGGACACGGTGAGAGTAATGGTCGTCTCCTGTTCCTTGGTCGAAGCGCATATTCTTGTGTCATTCTCGAGAATTGACAAGTGGACACTTCGTTGTCCGCGACAAGACCCGTACCTTCTGGAGCTCATCAATGAGAAACTTTGGCCCCTTCCCCGTGAACTATACTCCGATGAGCGACGATGTCGCCTGCGGATCCGCGGCACGCAACAAAGCAGATATCTGCGGCGAAGTTCGTACAGTTTAATGGGTACGATCTATTAGTTGTCTGTGATAAAGTTAACTTTCCCGTCCCGACATTAATAAGAAACAGAGAAGGCGAGTTAGGAATTGTTCCGTACGAACTCTACTTGTTAGTCTGTGTTGTACTATTTTGCATATAGAACAACTCGAATGTTTCGTATATTAAATTAAATATACAAGAATAGTACGAAGAGAAACTAAAAGGAAAAAGATTTTGTCTGAACATTTTACTGGCATGGAAGCTGACAAGAGACAGTTTAAAGCTTTGTACGGAACTCTATTTTACTCAAGCTTTGTCTCGTAATAAATATTCATAGCGGTGATCGATTCGTTAAAGTTTCCTATGGTCTAAACCAAGTTTGATTTCCAAAGAGAACCGTACGATCGTGTGGTAAATTAATTTTGACTGTGTGCAGTCAGGGACTGAAGTAAAACCATATCGATTATCTGTTAACCAATGAATTTTTATCAAGTCTGCGAGGAATTATGGAAATAGGTCGGACAGGCGGTTAGCCAGTGATTTGCACCATCTGTTGAATCTTGCTATTTTCCATTTTTCCACGTTCAATACTTCACTTTGACAATTCCCTCTGATATCTACGTATTTACTTGAAATTTAAATTGAGCTACTGCGAATTTTCGGTTCTTTATAATTATTCAATCGTATTTCTAATCGTGAGACATGAATATGAAAAGAATATTGAACATGCTTTATAATCGTCTTTCTCCGTCGATATAATACCTGTCAAAATATTTCCTGAAAGTGTTGCTGACGCAGTACAGCGCGATAGGATTGATGCAGCTGTTAGTGAACGCCAGGCAGAAGCTGAGGATACGAAAATAATGCCAGAACGCATTGTAGTCTTTCTGCGCGGTCGGATGGATGTGGAACCACAGCATAAACACGTGCTGAGGGAAGAAGCACACTGCGAAAACGATTACGAATGCCATGACCATTTTAGCCACTTTCTTCCGTGCTCTGACCTGCTTTACCTGCAATCATACGTATAAAAAGTCATCCGAAACGTGAAACCGTTTCCCTTTTGTCGCTCGACGATTCTTCAACGATGAAAAACTTTGTCCGGATAACAACGTACAAACTGAACTTGACCGTGCGAACACTTCGTCGAAAGTTTAAACTAGTCTTTAGTCGACGCAATTCTCCGACGATAAATCACCGGAACAGGAATCAAACTTCGAGTTCGGAGGAACGCGCAGCGAAGAATCGATGAATTTCACCGGTCGTGTTCGCGGATTAGTTGATAGTTGCCTTTCCGAGTTTAATAGGATTACAGGCGGTTCTAATTGACGCGGTGATCCCAGAAGGCGTTCACTTCGGAATTTCACGGAAGAGATTACATTGCTCTTTCGACTCACCTGACCTTGCATCTCACCGGGAATGTTTCTCATACTGTGCATCAAGTGTCTGGCCATCAGAATGTAGAAAACTGCGATAATACTGAGCGGCGTGGCGTAGTATATGAAGAAACGGCAGATCAAAATCATTTTGGGATAATTCGGGCCAAATTCCTCCGGAAACGGGTAGCAAGCCTTTGAACATCGCAATAAAAGCTGAATTACTTTATTGAGGATCAATTAAATTCTCGTAATTTGCTCGAACGACGAGCCAGAACAACGACGACCAATGTTGTCAAGGGAAACACAAAGAGTAGGGGACGTGTCGGTCGTATGATCGATCGATCGATCGTAAAACAGAAACTGGAACGATAAAAATAATTGTCTTATGGATATTAGTTACACTCACGCGAAAGCTAACGTTGCTGTTCACTCTGAAGACTCTGATGTAGGAAAACGAAGCCGGTATGGCGCATATAATTGCTAGCACCCAAATCGATGCGGCTACGATCACTGAGAAACGCCTTGCGCGTCTTCCCGTACCTTCAAGAATAAAAAGAAGACGAGGTCCAATTGCGGAGATCATATACATCATGCATATCTTATCACGCCACTACTGAAATGTTTCTTTTTATGACTGTAGTGTAGTTGCAATATTTCGCCTTTCAAGAGCAAATCGGATTCTTAGATTTTCCACTAGAGAAATTCCTTTCACTATCTCTGTGACACCTGTACCGCCGTTGGGTGAATAAAACTTTGCAAACGTGAGATATGGAATTTTGAAAGAGAAGAGTAAAATATTTCTTTAAAGGAATTTCTACGTAGAGAATGTACATAAATGCCCCGTATCACGTTCGTTAATTCCAATTACTTCCACGTAATTATGTTTAATAAATGCAATTGAATTAGATGTTTTGTAAAGATGAATAGAAATAGATAAATGCAATCCGTACCAGTAGCGTGAAGCTTTCTCATTGGATCAACGATAGCGAAGAATCTGTCCGCCGAGAGAGCGGTTAAAGTAAAAACAGAAACCCCGATGGAAATATCCTTGGCGCACTCTGATACTTTGCAAAGGAGGAGTCCGAAGGGCCACGAGTCCAGAATATAAACGGTGAAGGTGAATGGCACGCATGTTACAATCACCTGCAGTATGACATTAAGAACGACACTTTAGAGAAGAGCATCTTACGAAACCATATTGAAACATAAAGCTTTCAAAACCGGTGTAAGCTATCAAGGATACTTAGATTCTTAAGACTCTGGTAAAGACCGTATTACTTTCTTCTTCAATTAGAAAGGAGAAGATATAAAATCCGAATATTTTAAAGAAATAAAGTATTTTAATATACAATGTAAAAAAGATAAATAACGTAAGAGGGAAAATTCACTATTCCGGAATCTAAGAATTCGGAACGTCAAGCTTGCTAGAAATAGAATAACAATCAGTAACACGTGCCAGGAGATCTCCGAGCGCCAACGAGAAGACATAAATATTGGGAACGTTCCTCATGTTACTGTGGCGCAATATGGTGAGCGCGAGTACGCCGTTTCCAGTGAGCCCGATTAGTAGGATCAGCAGGAACACTATCGGGACAATGTAAGTTTCCGGTCGATCTTCATACGGCGTGTACTTCTCTTCCTCCTCACCGAATTCTTTCAACACCGTATGATCTATCACATTTGCGTGCACACTGCCCGCATCGGTGTAAAGTGTGGTCGATGCAATTCCAGAACTTATCCTGAGAATGGACGACGCAGACGGCGTGGTCCATGGAAAAGGAAATAACGGGCAATCGGTGGTTTGAGTCTTGAACATGTTTCTGTTTGTCCTTCGTATCCTTGTTCGTACTCAAACTGTACGTAGACTTTATTATACCATAGTAAGATCGTCTCACATCTTGATGGGTTCCTTTCCGCAGGCGGTCCACCGACCTGCCCCTTTTTCGAACTGCGAGTCGCTAGAAATTGGAAAAGGAGCCGAGTTAGCGAAAGTCATCACGACAAATGGAGCGTAGGAAATGGGAAAATGATTTTGCTTAGGTATGTTCCGCGGCAAATTGCACACCGGAGACACGTATTTCTCGTTGACCGTGAATTAAGAGTACGCATTCCCGGAATAAGATCGATTAAGAAGATCCATTTCACGGAAGGACGTTCAGTGGGACGAAAGTAATTCGGGTAGAAATTTAATAGGTCCTTCTTGGAAAACCCGAAAACCACATGTATGCAATGAATTTAACGAGAGTACTATTATACATCATACATTATACGAAAGTGTTATGAATGAATTCGGGATACGCTGGGAAGTGTGTGGTTTGTATTCTTATCGTGCGGAAAAAGGTAACGTGTCGGGGACTACGTGACCTCGTTAAGCGAGTCTTGAGAATTTTTGTCCTACTTCTTTTTTCAATCGTGCCTGGAGGATTCCGCGAACCGCAAACGCTTTCGCTTAGACGCTGGTAATTTCACTAAGGCCGAAGGTTCAGTGGCGATCCCTTAAGCTTATGCGTTCCCTAACGCGATTAAGAATTTCGTTGCGCAATATTCTTAACACAATAAGGCAGTGGTTCTCTGGATAAAAAAATCTCTTAAGAGTTACAATAACGACGGTACGTACTAGATTTTTGCATAGTTGTGGTCTCGTAAAAAGTAAGAAGTTTCGGTTTAATATAAGTAGTTGGGGTATTTAATCTTACAAGCACGTACAACTTCGAAATTTGATGTAGGTAAAACTTTCACGAAAGTTTGAAAGTGCAATCATGAGTGCTTAAGGTAAAGGAAATAATTAATTGATTTAAAAAAATGACGCATTTTATTCTATAAAATAATAACGCGGACAATATTGCCTACTTCTCAGGCTTGATCCTCCATTTCTGTTGTTTAATATAGCGTTGAGCTTACTACGACCTAGGATCATAGTAGGATCAAACTGTATTAAGTTGGAGTTAAGTGTTCCTTCTCTTTTCTACTAACGGTCTCAATACTAATTATTGAAGAGGAGCAAGTAGGCTTCCGTTACTGACAGTTAATTTTAGTATTATTGAGGTCTACATGTTATGAGTTATACACGTTAATAAAAATGTAAATTCATCGATACAAGAATATTAAAGTTTTATCTATATATTAATATTGAATTCAATTTTTAAGTGAATAATTGATAGAGGAAATTAACAATTTTTCATTCATTCCGATATCTCAATCCGTTACGGAGGTATTAGGCTTCCCAACTTTAGGCGCAGGGTTTGGTATTATTAACCCAGTGACACAGTCTTGTTCCTAGAACCGAAGGCTATTTTTTATGGGAACGCGTATCAGATAATGGAAATCTGTGTTTACAAGTCGCATACAATCGTAGCTTTAGCGAAAGGATTGCAGTTTTTACACCTCCGACTGAAATCTGTGATCATAGTTTACGTTTTGCGCTTTTGCAGATCAGAATTTCGATTTCGACTTTACTTCTAATCGTGATTCAGATTTTAATTTGGGTCTTGATTAGGATTGTGGTTTCGATCTCGAGTTTAATGTTGATGTTGATTTTAATTTGGGTTCTGATTAGGATTGTGCTTTCGATCTCGACTCTTATTCTGATTCTGATCAGGATTATGGTTTTGATTTCGAGTTTGATGTTGATG